AATGTACAATGAATTAACTGAAGATCTACAAAGATCTCCTTAATCCTCATCACTATGAAATCTTCTTAATCTACTTCACTACTTCTACACTAATATGCACTTTTGTATACAATGGATGCGGGTGCGGTTGAGACATTGGGGAACTTCACTAGGCTAGCGATTCTAAGCCATACTTGCCCTTGAGACACATTCCCAGGCAAGCATTAGCTAGGGTTCGTCATGAGCCAGGTACTTAGGAGCTGGGTGCGGGCAAGGTGGTGGCAAGGCGTTACCCCACCTGTCACATCGCTACATGTGTCATCAGGCACCCTTATGGTCGGTCACGTACATGGGTTGTGACGTCGAGACTGCGTACTCCGAGTAAGTACATAGCATATAGTACTACTACGGACTGATAGTACTACTAGAACTAATGTGCACTGAACACGAATCGACGCCAGCACCAACCACCAAACACTACATTGATTACCACCACACACATCAATGCAGTGGATGGTGGTTGGTGCTGACATGGCAGTAGTGTCTGCCGTCGTTGAATATGCGTTCCTCAACGACGGCAGACACCACCACCACGTTGACGCCAACCACCATGCAGTCGCGCACACGAATGTACCACGCAAGGGGTCGACGCCAGCAGCTACCACACCACCACATCTGTCCATGCCCAACCACTTCGACACCAACCACCACTAAGCCAATATTCATTTCCTAATCCTGCATTTACAAGGCAACAGTGGAGAGTCACATGCAAGATAGCATTTTGAACGACTGTGATGTCAACGATTAGTCACCGTGAAGTGAAGTCTTATTATAACTCTTACATGATTTAACTCATGTGTATATGCACCTTAACATTGCAATTACCTAGTTTATGCACCATTAAGCAACTCAGAGTTAAATATTTACGACCACAGCGACTTTCAATACATACAACACAAACAACGACCGCCACGTGGCGCTATCGCTAAGTGACCTCTTGTCCGCGTTCAAGCTCTCGAGTTTCTTCGGAGAAGTTTGTCCTTCGTTCACGCTGCTTGTTGTTCGGAGCCAATCGCTTTGCTTCGTCAGCAAGCAGGTCGTTTGAAGCATGTCGCCTATGGACCTTGTGCAGTGATTGCTCGATAGCGCAAGGGTAAACGGAAGCCAATATCCACCATTGTATCCAGCTCAAACACGTAGACTTACTTCTATTGTCGTACGAGGTGTAGCGGATTAAAAAGTGATTCCAAGGTTGCAGGTCCCGCCAAATTATACGAAAGCCCAAAAACTCGACACTTTGTACGACTGCTCAAATGTGGATAAATATCACACACCTAATCCAGTGTACTTGTCGCCAGTGAAACACGAGTTCACTCACCAGTAAAATACTAGTAGTTCGAAGGAGCAGGGAGCAAAATCCAAAATGAATGGACCTTGCTCTCGCCATTATCGCTCTGATAATTATTTTATGTTTCATCTGGGTCAAATCTTTCGAATTATCATACCCCCCTGTGGTACTTACTTCAAGATACTACGTTCTGTAATTATCTGTTATGTATGCTTCCATATAAGGGAGATTTCGGAGATGGCTTCGTAAATATTGAAATCATAAAGTAAAACCAAGGGATTTTATATCGTCGATTCGGAAAAAACAAGTTTTCCCTATCCGTGGTCATACTGCAACGTCGGTCTCCGATGGCTAACTTAGTAGACGAAACGAAGCGCTCAGACGTGTTGAACATTGGGCACATGAACCGGCAATCCATGAAGCCGCTCGTCACGCGCATCACCTACTTCTTCTTCAACGCCCGCTAGGCCAGCGACATCACAGGAAGCGCCACGTCCGCCGCGTTCGATATCTTCTTCATTGCGCAGCTTGATCACGCTTTTACATTGTTCAGCTCTCATCATTGTCAACGCCGCTCTCAAAACTTGGCTTTTTGTTCGCGCGCTCGGACCTAAATGACCCACCGCATCCGGATAATATTCGATAACCGTATCGAAAATTTGGCGCACGTCCAAAAGAGAGCATTCTTCGCCTTGTAAGGCGAGCGTGATCGAGTTGAGGTCTTCCAGAGTGACTAGCAGGACCGCAACTTCGTGATCTTCCACCATATTGAGTCGCAGCACGTCGATACTGTCGTCAACAATAGCCAATAGGAATGGCTTGAGCTCAATGTACCGTTTCAACATGAAGAATGTCGAACTCCAGCGTGTCGCGCTTAGTGTAATCGCACGTACGGGGCCACACGACGCAGACGAGCGGACGACAGAGTAAAACGAAGCTTGGTCATGAGAGCGTTGACTATGTCAATAACAGTCGCGTGGTTGGCGAGCATGTTGGACACAAAGAGGTTGAAATGGTGGCTGGCGCATCCAATAAATGGCACCCCGGCGAGTCGTGCAAAAGCTACATTGGTGGAGCAGTTATCTCCGATAAATGCGATGACATTGGTCCAGGACTCCCCATACAAATCCAGGACAAACTCAGTAAGCTCCACGTGGGCAGTCGCAGGTCTTTCTTCTGAACCAAAATCTATTAAAATATTAATAAGTTCTTGTGTTTCTAAATTTAATTTTTTTATATAATTAAAATCGGTTGGTGCAAACGACAGTTGCATCTTGTCTGGCAGGTGTGCCCAAAATGAGGAATGGCCACTGCACCGTGGGCACAGGTTCTATTTGCCCACGTTTCATTGGCCTTTCGGTGACCAATATCGTGCGGGCCAAGCCGGACAACCTCCTTAACATGTCTCTCATCCATCCCATCGATCCACAAAAATTATTTCTTGTGGTGTCACCCCATCGTCGAGTGAACACGAACCCACGGAATTTTTTCGCCCTGATCGCTAAAGGTTGTTCGTATCTGATTGGTGTAAATTCAAGCTGAAAATCTCCTCTTTGATTGCATACTTTAAGCTGCGCAAAATTCACACTCTTGACAAAGTTATCGAACTTGAAAAATGGCCTTCAAATTGGCAAATATTCAATCACCCGCCAGAGAATCATATCTTAACTTTATACCTCCCCATCTCGCCGACTTGTTCATCTGGTTATTGTAATGCCCTTGAAGCACTACCAAGGCTCTCTCGCTTCTATGATGTTGTATTTATGATCAAACATGCTCAAAACATACCATACGCCATACGTGACCGTAGTACCTTCGATAGGCGACTGTAGACCACGAAATTGCAACTGAGGCTAAACGATGCCTAGTTCTAGCCTTTTGAACAAGCTACGACACTATATTCCACGAATGGCGGTGTGGGCATGCCTTTACTTTCCGAGATTCTTGTTGTGGTTGATGTCACTTGATACGCTTCAGTAGAAATATGTTGTATAGCATATACTAAACATGTATACAAGTGGCTAAATTATTTATATTAAGTATACAAATTACAAGTAAAAAGAACTGCATCTTCGAAAATATGCAACAAGACAGCTATTTTGGACCAGAGGAGTAGATTAATTTTGTTCAATCCTTCATACATTTCACGATGGAGAACGGTGGCGGGTTTTCAGGGTTTACTGTATTCACTTACTCTGGTCGTTTACAATCAAGGCATTACCTGTGATAAACCCACAGCATCGCCTTGAACGACTAGAACGCACGATGACGTATCTGGACGTTTAAGTTTCATGTACAGGCGCCATACATTCCCCCATTCTTGTCATGCTTGGCCATCTCCGAATCAAAACCCCATAGTGGAACGCTCGTTCGACTTGAGCATGACAGTACTGTAGCAGCAGCCGCGACAACACAATCGACCGATAACAAAATGGGAACTTCAGATCAAGAATACGCTGATAAAAAGTATTCCGCAACGTACAAAATCGCATGTAGCACAAACTGCTCCTAGCAAGTTCACTATAGACTTACAGGTTTTTGTTGGGTGGTGCTGAATGTGGAGCCGATCGTTTCAATAATGACCAGCTGCACTAAGCGACACCCCAGCACTTGAGTGTACTGAAATGGTTGAAACGGACTGCGTGTCCCCACCGACGCGTAAACTCTTCAGCGCAAGCAAGCACCCATGGACTGAGAATAGAACGTTCGGAAGCTTTTGGTGAATTCTGACGCCGATATTTTTCAAGCAGTGCTTTGAATTCAACGCATACATGCGAATTTTCCGTCGTTGCTGGTTGCTGTGGCCAGCTTCGCACGTTCGTCCAACAAGTCATAATCTCCGCGACACTTGCGCTTGAGATTGGACGTAGGATACCAGTACCACAGGCCACTGCGTCCTCAGACCTTGGAATAACATCTGTCGTTGGAGTTACTGTGACTTCTGTGACACCTGTAGCGGAGCTCGCGACACTGAGGCCACTTGCTGAGAAATACTCAGACAATAGCTGTACTAGTCGGCGGGCTTCCAGAGAAAATCCACACGTCTTTCGGTCCAACGTTGCCACCAGCATGTCGATTTCTGCCTCCTTGTCACCGATGGTAACGCCAACCGTGCACGCCATGACAAATACTGCCGGGTCATGGGAGTCAAATTTCTTCAGGTTGTCAGAAAAGATTAAACCCAGTGCGAATGTCGTGGTGTGTTCTCTGAGTGTCGCGCTTCATTTTGACCAAGATTCAACTCTGACGCGGATTGTAGGCTGGAGTCGAATATAGAGGGCCATTGTGGAATGTGTGTACTTGAAGATTACACCAGCACTACATGATCAGGATGAGCTCAACATTTAATCATTACTACTCTTGTGTAAATTATATCCCGTTGTCTTTTGGCGAATTCAGGCACAGCTTGGGGTCTTGGTTGTATCGGTTTGCCAAGTGAAGGGACTTGTGGCGAGAACTTGCATCATGTCAACGTCCGATATGCCACCCCACGTAGCTAACAACTAGGCTGTCTTGACCAACCAGTGTGTTGCAAATGGGCCCTATCGTCGAGTGATTTTGGTGCACACTTCTAACATCGGAATTGAAACTTCGTGGCAGAGTAAGTGCAACCGAGCTCGCTATCGTGGGGGGACTGGTACCCCGATCCGTTGTGTTTGGAGTGATGTAACCACCCAACCTTGGGCCTTCTTTTCGCGAAAAAATGACAGCACCACCCAGTCCGAGTCTGTTTTCCATTTCATTCGAACGGCCACATTAGAGAGGTTTAGCAACTTTTCCAGACCGCATCCATTCCGCACATTTTTGACAACAACCGCCTTATGGATACGGTCTGGAATATAATATATTTGATTTAGCACAATTCCAGTCACCATCCATACATTCATCCGGTTAAGTTATTCCGGATACACTGTGATCTCACCATCGCCACCGAAGGACGACGACTCATGCCAATCACGCAGACAGACGGAGTCATGCTTCTGTCGCTGGCTAAGACCATGCGTCAACGCCAATTCGTCCTTGCCCTGCTGGCCACACAACACGTCGAACGGCCACTGATCCCCGAAGTCCGTTTCAACCTGGACGATATGACGGATGCTAACGCAGTGCTCGACTACCGCTTTGACGTCGTGGGCATCCGCAAACTCGGCTACTACCTCGGCCTACCAGCGGTGGTGGTAACCGAAAACCGGAGCCGTGCTTTGCGTGACGAAGCAATGTGTATTGTCCTCGGTCGGATGGCATTTCCAACAAGGTTGCACGGGATGTCCAAAACATTTGGACGATCCCGCTCGTCTATTTGTGATGTACGCCATTAACTTGTTGTACGAGATATGGGGAAACCTACTCTACTTCAATTTGAGACTTGTAGCAAAAAATATCCAAAGGTAATTCGACATACTAGTAACGTGATGTAGTAAAATATTGGGTTGCTAAAATCATTTTTAATTACTTATAATTGATATTTATAGATATTGCGACGCTGTTGCTCGAAAGGGCTCGCCGCTACGTAACGTCTACGGATTTATTGACGGGACAAAGGTCCAAACGTGCCGTATTCAATCGTCGGGGGATGGCAATAACCTGCAAAAACAAATCTACAGCGGCCACAAGCGGATTCACTGCCTCAACTACCAAGCTGTGACGTGCCCCGATGGCATCTGTGTGCACTTCTTCGGCCCAATCGAGGGTCGTCGTCACGACGCCACCATGCTCAGGTCCAGCAAGCTGCTTGAATTCTTTGGACTGCACCCGGACGTGTTTGCATCCAAGTACCTATATGGTGACCCAGCGTATGGTGTTGTGGAATTTCTCTTGTCGGGTTACAAAGGAAACAATATTTCTGAGCGAAAGCGCGAGTTCAACAAGTGGATGAGCCGGGTACGCCAATCTGTGGAGTGGAACTTCAAAATCCTGAAGACGTTGTGGTCATTTATCACATTTAAAATGTTGTCCAAGATTCAACTTTCCCCCGTGGCCAAGATTGTATCAATTGCCATGCTACTCACCAATTGTCATTGCTGTCACTTTAGAGGAAATCAAATCAGTGATTTTTTTGACATGGAGCCTCCAAGTTTAAAGGAATATCTAGATACGCTCGAAATTGTAGAAATTTAACGTATTAACAAGATCGTACTTCAAATTTTATTAATGATGGCACTCATCAATTTTAACAACGTCTCCTGTTGTTGTTGCATTAACTCTTGTTGTTTTTGCATCGCCTCATTTTGCTGACGAATATGCCCCAGCAGTAATTCACGATCTTGGCGACGCTCTTCAATCTCACTGTTGTACTTTTCCTTCTTAAATTCGAGGTCAGACTTCGCCTGTTCATTGAGAATAGCCATCATTTTGACCACCTTGTTGCTGCCGCCACCGACAGCACCTTCGACATCGCATGCTTGCTTTCGTTTGCCCAACGACATCATTGCTTCGTCGCGGACAATGCTGCCCAAGTTTTCAATGTGCTGGTTGGCCTTTTGTGTTGATACAACACGCTTTGCCTCCTCGTCCTTCGCGTCGTCGAATACAGCGAGAAGGTCGTCCAACAGAAGGACCTTCTCTGAAACTTCCTCGGAGACCCCGGATGCTCGTTCTGAATATTTGTTGTGCTTGCGGTGGCTGTCAATAAGGGCATTAAAGCGGTTGTTCGCCTTCTTGGCATCGAGGTCGGTGCGTGTAAACTCGTCGGACGCGACAAGGGCCCGCGCTACAGCCGTCCACTTGTCCATGATGAGGCCACGGCGCGCCAAAAACGGCAGTTCGAGAGAGACTTGGCGCAGGAGCATCAGATACTCCTCATCGGTGTAGTTGCGTCGCTTCACTGGTGTGGTCATGGTCGGCGTCGACACTGGGACCACGAGTCGTTTGAAAATGTACAGAATGGAATTGATTCCATACAATTGGTCAATTATGGGGATTGAGCATTATTTTTGACAGTTTCCATAACTATGTTTGAGAGGTAGACTCTGCTTTTGTCTCGTGGGGCTGGTATAGCTTACAAGCGTAAATCCTACCAGTAAAAAGTTAGACACCGTCCTCTATAGACGTCCGTGTGACAAGTTCAATATACCCACCGTTACAAAAGTCGACTTTGACTCAATGCTCAGTATGAACAATGTTTCAAGGCCAATATGCGATGCAGCTAAGCTACGTTCGCCGGCTCGTCGATTGCCTACGCCACGAACTACCTGAACGCTACCGTCGGCTTTCCCAACACTCGTTCGAAGAGAAGGTGGCAGTTGTGTGGGCCTTAATTGCAGTAAGAACATCGTCCAGTGTAGCACCAGGCGCAGCTTGGGGTTGGACACCAGAAAGCGATGGCCCCAAAACATCAATCCCTCCTTGATGGAATTAAATCCATCTTCCAATGACGCTGCAGCGTCTTTGGGCTTCTTTTCCACACTGTTTTTCTTTTGCTCCTTGTTTTGTGGATCTTCAGTCTTTATCAACGTCGTCCTCCTCGTCTACATTTATATAATAGCTCATTAATATATACTAGTACGTAATATCTATATATATAATTTATACCATCCAATACGACCACGTTGTCATCCTCGATATAATCATCCGTGCTCATGAGGGATTCCCTTTTGTACCCCACCTTAGTACGCCAGTACTCCAGCATGATGCCATAGTGCATTGGAAGTTGAGCCTTGGACAAGGTCCCCGTTGGACTGGGCAAACTTGGCTTCGACGCGGACCATTCCGATTTCATCTTGGCAAACTATTTGAATACAAGTCAATCAGTCTTGAAATGACTGTACGAGAAATGCACGCACCTTGTCTTGCACCTGCTTTGCGACGAATTCACGACGCTGAGCTCTGGCACCAGCATCACGTACGCCACACGCTTGCCACTGTTGTTCTTCGAGTCGAATCTGGACACCAGAGGGGAATTGTACCAGAGCGAGAACAACGTGTCGACGCTTCGGTCGCACCAGAGCATCCCCCTTGGCACTTGCCGCTTTGCCGGCTTGTCTTGACGAACGTCGGAGTCTAATGTGATTCATGATATATTGTGAGTTGAGTTAAGGTGCTGTTTCATAACATAGTATGTCGTGTTTGTACCTTCGTTGTCTGCATTTCCAGCATCGACTTTCTTCGCGTTCTCGTCCATTAGGGTGCTCCCTCCAACTTGAAAAGCTTCTGATTGACAGTGTGAAACATGAACGAGCGTGAACGACTCGTCCCCGCTTCTCAAGCCAAGTTGAGCATGAATAACATCCCGTTACCGGATAATTCTATCCAATCAAAACTAATTTGTCCATGCTTGCAAGGCATATACATGGACGAAACTTTCCCCATCCAGGGCCTAAAGACCATGTCACGACGAATCCGAGGTCGAATTCTCTGATTGGCCTAAAGTACAACAATTAAACGACGACAACAGAGATCTGATTGATACAATGGTTCAAGGGCAAGCGAACTGCATGGTGGCTGGCGCATCCTTTCGTAGAATGCCATTTTGACATGGATGTGTGAAGTTTCAAATTTCAAATTGAGTTGGGCCAATCACAGCTGAGCATAATCTTTGATTCAGAATACCGTGCAGTCAATTTTATCCAATTGGATCTATTCGTTATGATTCCCAGGTTCCGAAAAATTTATTTTATTGACGTGGGTTACTTTCGTCAACTTTTACTGTCAAACAATGTATTCCGTTTGAGACAGTTCTGAGATTTGGCTGAGGAGTACAGTACAAGCAACGACAAGCTAGTTGTCATAAGAGGTACTAACGAAGTTTCTGAAAGTCTACCCAATCATAACCGAGAGATTTTTGGTTATTCTGGGCCGAACTTCTGATTGGTTTACCATATAGTTCATCTTGTCATATTCGAAGTAGCATCCATCATTTTCTTAGAAACGGGTGGATAAATAACCCACTTTTTCCCCTGCATCCATCACAAACACGCCGCTGCGCAAGTGTGCTGACAGGAATTTGGAATGTCTCTTCGGGCATGAAACATCATTTGAGTGCATCGAAATAAACGAAATGTGTACGGAAGAACGTGCCCCACGAAGAGCCTTGAAACATCAGAACCCCAGTGCCATGGAGCCTACATTAGGTACGATCGAAGTGTAGTCTTCGTTCACCGGGGTTGGCGTCTCACCAGTGGTTTGCTATCGCTAACCCCTGGTAATTCGTTGAACCCCTCACGAAAATCTGAAGCAGTCTACCTCCGCTACATGGTGAAAGGTCGCGCACCCAGTTGCAGATAATGTTCAAGGTGCGGCGAACTCCTGGTCATAGTACCCTCCAATGCCAATTCGCAACTGTTGCAAATTGATTTATAGTAGCGACTTAGTCCCGTTATGTTACGCTAAGAAAATCCCGTTAACCGTTGCAGATAAATTGGGCACATCCTCCAGACAGAAGATAAATTCAAACCACCGCAAGTACAGTACAGTCACCGAGGGAGTGGTTCGCCTGTGTGGTACTTCGAGTTTTCTGCTCATGCTTGTGAATGATTGGCCGCCATACTTCGAAGTACGACAAAGTTTACAGCCAATGAAAGTGACTGGTGTGTATTTTTATTCGCAGCTCAAATAATAATTTGTTGTTTTGACAGGTTATGAAAAACGAGAGCACTCCACTGCAAGGTGTGAAAGAATTTCTGCATTTGGTTAAGCAGGGCATAAATTCTTAAAAACTTAAGAATATATTACGATGGATACCAAAGAACGAGGTTAAAGATAAGCGTTTGACGCGGTTGGCGCAATGCTTTTTCCACCTTTATTTAAATATAGATATTTTATAAAAATATGTACAAATTCCAATACAATCCTTTTCAAACCTATATTATTTCACAATTAAAAAGAATGACAAAGAGTGGCTGTCGTTTAAGCACTTGGAATTGCTTTGGCAAAGCTCTCGCGGATGACGATTTCAATGACTTTCTCCCACGCCCGGATCGCCCTGTTGATCATTACGAGACGCTTTTGCGCAGCACAAGGTGAGTCAAACTCGTCTCCATCCTCACCATCGATGATTTCCTCGGCCAACCACTCGTCACGCAGGAAGCGTTTGAACGGCGCCATGACCCCTACGTCCAATGGCTGGCACGTGGACGTGGCGTTTGGAGGTAATGGAACCAACAGACAGCTGAGCTCATCTTCAACGATACTGTAGGACTCATCACTCACGTGAGACTCGAAGTTGTCGACCAAGATGACAGACGGCGCCTCAACACAAGGCAGCAGCAAGGTGCGCAGGTACAGTCTCCACACATTGTTGTCCATCCAGGCATTTTGCTGAACAGCGTATACGTGGCCAGCAGGGTAAGTCGGAAGCTCCTGCGTCTCGATGCGGCCACCTGGAAGTCCCCGCACGACAAAAAGAAGCGGCAACTTGGATCCATCGGCACGCACGGTAAGGGCCACAGTCATCCGGAGGGAGTGCTTTTCCCCAGAGGACACCTTGGCATCACCTCCGCGGATCGACCAGATGTACTTGGGAGGCATGTCGTAATAGAACCCAGTTTCATCGACGTTGTAGACGCTGTCATCGTGGAAGGCGCTGTACAAGCGATGGAACTCCTCGGCAAACTCGTCGCGAACGTTAGCTAGTGCAGCGTGCGACTTCTTGCGGTGGCCGGCGCGTTGACGACTGTAACCATGGCGGCGGCAGAACTGCTGAAGGAGACGGAGCAGGCTTTGGTAGCCAGTGCCAGCTTGCTTGTCAATAAGATAGAGCCGAAGCCACTGACTCTGGTAGCGCTTAATCCAGTTGATAATGTGAGTTGTTGTCAATGCTCGTTCACGAACTCGCATTTCGACGATAAAGTCGACCAATCCCTCGGGGTCAGAGAACATCTCGCGGCGCCCACCAGGGCTGACTTTCATTCGCTTCTTGTTCCCTTGGAAGGCGGTGATTTCATCGCGCTGGTCAAACCAAGAACGCATGGTGCGCCGGGGTATGCCAAGGTTTTCGGATACCTTGTAGTCCGACATACTTGCCATCATAGCAAGTGCATCGAGTTTGACTGATATAGCGTAGCCGCGCTTTTTAGTCCGAAGGGTTGACAAGGAGCTCATCAATTCGTGAATGAAAAGTGTGGCACATATTTAAATTAACTCGCGCCGGTGGGAAAATATATTCATTATCCAATCACAAGTCGTTAAACTTTTGGTACTATATTATTGGATAAAATAATAGTTGCACGTTGAGCAAGTTCGATAGGCGAACCACTCCCTCGGTGACTGTAATCCTACACCCACTTTTTTTTTGGTAAAATACATGTATTAATTGAATAAAAATTGCGTAAAGTGTTCCTACACCGACTCCTTTCGGTAAAATATTGATCGCCCAACGCATTCGTGTTGAGTGCAATCGAATTAGTCAAGTGTATGTGCGGGAATGTCGTTGACTATTCGTCGTTTCTAGTTCTCCGTGTGGATTCCCCGCGTAACCCCCAGCCATGTGAGCGAAAAGTGTGCGCGTACTTGAAGTTCAAAACTGGAAGTGTTGAAATGCCCCTGACGATTTCAAGAAGCTACCGGTGTCTGACGAGTTTTGACGGCGACCACGTGCTTTGCCAAGGGCTTTTCAAGGACCCTAACATATGGGTCCAGTTCATTTCTGCCACGTCTGCTGCACACAAGGCCAAGGACATGGATTGTGTTCCATTGAAGAGCCATGAGCGGCGCATTCTCCTCTACGAGCGGACGAAGGCAATAACTGGTTGTCGGCATCATGGCAGCCGTGGTCGACTTCAGCGAAGTGTTCATAGGCCAGCCGAAAAACTGGTCAGCTACGTTCCATCCCTCGAATCCATCTTGAAACCCACTCGACCTGATCAACATCCAAAACTACTTGCTGTCGACCGACGGCATGCTGTTCGTACCACATCCGATCATTTTTAGGTCAGATTAAGGCATCGATGTTCCAATGCAATCAAATGTTGGCGGCATTAACTTTAGGTAATAGTTTTGCATGAGTCACAATAGAGAGTGAAAATTGAGGTCAATATAGTATTTTTTTATTTTTTTATAATCCAGTATACTTTAATCAAGATCATATATTGGGAAAAAAACTCAACAGTCAAACTATGCCTTTGAGGGACAATTCAAATGTGTGAATCATCTGTTAACGGGATTTTCTCAGTGCAACACTAACGGGATGAAGTCGCTACGTAAAATCGATTTGCAACAGTTGCTGCGAATTCGCATTGGAGGCCACAATTATCAGGATTTCGTCGCGCCTTGAACGCTCTCTGTATCTGTGTGGGGTGCGCGGCCATTCGCAGCGTAGTACAGGGAACGACGCTGAGTAACGGCGTGATGAGGACTTGTGATTGGACAGAGAGGCGGTTCGAATTGGCCAATTGAGGATCACAAAACCAAAATATATAAAAAGTATCGAATGAAAAAATGAGCTGTGAATATAAGATTACAAAGGATATAAATATAATGCGTAATTAGTACTAGGAAGACATCGATGCCATGGTTTTCAGGTTCTCATTCTTGCAGGAAACTAATTATCACAAGGGATCAAGGTCATAAAAATGCCTAACGACGTTACACATAATGCGCGACACATATAGTCTGTGGATTTGCACCTCCCATGGGGACCAACAAAATGTGACATGACCGCTTATAAAAATACTATAATTTAATACTCTATTCAAGTAAAGAAAAAAAGTATACGGTATGGGTCAATGGAACTACAAGCCATAGAATACACAACTCCCCCCCCAGTATCTCCCTTGAACAGACGCGCAATGCTCACTCCACGAATCCCGGTATGTCCGTATTGAAATCTTGTGTCGAGGCTTCGTTGGCAGCACTGTGGCTGTAGGTAGCACTGACATTCAAGGTTATCAAGTAGTGGGGTGGAAATTTGTTTAAATTGTGCCGGGAAAAATCCCACCAATCATAGTCGAGGTAACGATATCGCTGATTATTATTGGCTGATTTGAAATTTTATTCCCGCGCCGTTACTCAGCGTCGTTCCCTGTAGTGGTAAGTTGGTTTATACTTGTATGATTTTCCTATTGTGGGTTCTGCTAGAAATTTCCATGTTCGATTGGTTGAATCGAACAGAGGGGTGGTTTCAGAACCGATCAAAACCTCTGTATTGGTATAGTTTATAGATATATAGAGGTTCCGTTGAGCACAAGAAGGTGCAATTCGAAACTTGCCCATCGAAGCGATCGCCGACGTCACCATCACCGATACCGGCCATCATCATCGATATCGCTAGGTTCAAGGAAACTACGCCACAGTGCACTCCCATCGAGAGCAATTACGTGCGCACATGTACCCCGAATGTAACCGTACTACAGTGGGTTGCGGCAAAACCCGGTAAGTGCAACTATTGCAGTGATTTGGAATTTGTATGGAGAGTGGTACGTCATCGAGCAAATTATAAAAAACTTCGTTTCGTCAAGCCTGTGGCATGGAAAGATTCTGGCATCTCATTGGACAAAATAAAGAATTATTCAACCACTCAGTGACACCGTATCGTTACAAATGAAAATGTCGCATTTTCGAGCAATTTGAGTCCAATTCAAATTCTGACAAGCGCAATCGATTCCGGAGGGGGGGGTTTACCTGAGAACCTCCTGCCGACTTCAACAAGCTCGCAAGTCCCCACACATCATACCAACATATATTATATTTCAAATACTGTGGGAATTGGCCTTTCAAAAGATTTCACTACAGTACTAATAATCTCGTCACCAAGTCGATTGTCTTCCTCCAACAGCCAAGCAGTTTTGAGCATAGCTTTCAGTGGTCCCACGACACCAACATGCAGTGGCTGACACCGGCTCGTGGAGTTCGGGGACAAAGATTCTACAACACTGAACAGTGTTTCAGCCACCTTGTCATAATACTTTTCGGACACATGACAAGCCAAATTGTCGACCAACAACACAGACGCGTCTTACACCCAAGGCGCCACAACCTCGTCGAGATAGATACATCACACACGTTCGTCCATCCAAGCGTTAACTTGGACAGCATAATGATGGCCCGAGGGATACGTGTCCAGTTTCTGGCACTAGATCACACCACCCGGTAGGCCTTTCACAATGAACAGTACAGGCAATTTTAGACCTACTACAGCATTAGAAAGAAATAAGTATTGTAGGACATACCGTCAGCTCGAACAGTCAAGACTGCCGTCAATCGGTCAGAGTGCTTTGCTCCGTCAGACACCTTGCATCCATTCCGATTTCGGCGAGTGTCTTGCCCGGCGGCAAATCGTAGAAGATTGCTGTTTCATCGACGTTGAGAATCTGACTCTTGTCGTACTGAGCGTACTTGTCCTAAAACGTCGCCACATATCCCAACCACACAGATTCCAAGACTTGATGAGATACCTTACCCTTGCACGGAACACGGTTAAAGAATCGGTGGCGGTAGAAAAAGCGCAACAGCAGTGTTCGAAACAATTTGTACGCCACGAGCTCTTCTTGGAAGACAAGTACTGAACCAGTCACGACATTTTGTTGGCTTGTTTTTGACCCACCGCATGAGATGAACATCGAACATATCGTCCAGATCCCCTCCGGTCTCGCATGTACACCAGCAGTTCGTCGTTGAAGGGAATGAGCTCCTGGAGACCCTGACCTCCCAACGTTGCGTTACGGCTGTGTCGTCTGCTGGCCAGGTTCTTGTCACGCCGCGCCTGCCAGTCCTGCCAGGTCGAGTATGCGATGTTCTTGCGACGGCAGAAGTCCATCTCATTGACACCAGTGGTAGCACTAAACTCGCTGAGGCAAGCCTTGTGTTCCCCTTTTGTGTACCGGCGCTGCCGGCGCTTGGGTTATCCATTCTTGGAGAGATTCACACTGTCAGTCGTCTCCGTGTTTGATTGTGTTTAAATGTTTGAATCCAGCCAATCACAGGTAATTAAGTTCTTGATTGGCTTATCTAAATTCGAATAAATATAGCCAATCGAGAAGGGTTTTCTACTTCGGCACTTTTGTTATTTTATTTTATTTACCGCGGCTGTGTTATCCTCGGACTTGCTTATCTGTGAGCTTATGAACCGGTAGATTTGAGTAACTAAGTGTTTCATGAAAACATGAGACGTAGTACATGTTTGCACGAGAACCCGAGACTACAGACGAATAGGCAGTGGTGGTAAACTGTGTCGGCGATCACGCTGTTGTGTCGCCGCTCAGGGAAATACTGTTTCATTGGCTGAATTAAGGTATTTTTGGCGAATCAAATCGTGAGGTCGATTTATTGCCACTTCACGTCAAAGGGTCAAACCACCCCAAAACGGCAAATTTCAGCGGAATTCACAATACCGGTATCTTCAACACCAAGCAACCCACAAACGAACTTCGACTATTGTTGGTCCATTTTTACGGATAATTGGGGTAGTATCCGTAACTGGATGCCCGGATAGCCCCCTGCACTGTCCATTTCATATGGAGTAACGCATGGTAGGATTTAACAGTAAACGATGTGAGTTTACTGTTAGTTTTCATGATTGGGTAAAGTTTGAGGTGTGAAACATGTTGATTGGTTAGCTCCTTCATATGAGTGGATTACATATGGATATATACATGTACTTTCAGATTCACAGTCAAATGGAAATATAATCCTGTCAAAATTACCCCACACTTTCTTTCGACAACCATGCTCATAATTTAAGCACATTTTGATATCGGATTAACGTGAGCGAAAGTAATTGACAATTTTTCTGCACAGTTCTGCAGCATATGGTGGGTGTGGTCACTGCAGTGAGTGAGCGACCCGAGACAAGATGGCAGCGATCGAGTGCTTCTCGGCCGCCAATTTTGTGGGCCCGGCGGTCGTCTTGCCCCCGATGCTCAACATCACGGACGTGACAGCATGGAAGGCACCCTGCGCGTTCCGGTCCTGGCGGGTGCCGGCTGGCCTCGCGCTCTTCGCGTTCCCTCTCGTCAACTTCAACGGCATCCCCGTGCGCGTGGACTCGACGTCATCGACACTGCCTGCTGGGTTCAACGTCTTGTCCTTCGCAGTTATCGACCGCGCCGACGACGTGCATCTGCTCGTGGACACGGGCGACACGACGTTCGCGCCGGTCGTGGTTCCCGTTGGCGCGCGGCTCCCAGTCATCGACAACAACATGGACATGAGAATGAGCAGCATGCACATTCCTCCGAACGCTGTCGTGGTCGGATACAAGCGTCGATACTTTCTCGGGCCGTACCGCGTGTACAGCGGGTCGTTGGGCTCGCTCGGCGACTGGAACAACCGCGTTCGATCGCTGCAGGTGCTGCCGTCCACGTTCCCACTGCCCGCGCAGCCTCGTTCCCCCCGTCCTCTAGGCAACGCCACCGCGTCCGTCCGTTTCTTCGCGAGACCCAACTTTACGCTGCTGTCGTTGCAGCAGTCGGTCGCCGACGGCGGCGTGCCTTCCATGGAAGATTGGCCGTTCGACTTGACCGACATTCAGCCATCGTCCATCACTCTCGATCCAGGAGTGTTGTTCGTCCAATACAGCGCGACGAATTTCAAAGGCACGGCTCGGACATGGACGACTTCCACGGCCATGATGCCCACCGACCATAAAACGTTTCTCATGCAGTCATTCCAAGTGCTTCCGTCCGCCGCCGCGCAACCGCCGCTACCTTCCTCCGACTATGCCATGTGCATATCCCCACTGCCGGCATCTTCATTGCTGTACCTTGAAGCTGGCGACGTCATTCCCGATCTGTCCGTGTTCAACATAGATACGTGCAGGTCCTTGGTTCTACCCCCGTCCATCGTCGCGATCGTTTACACTGGCGTCAACAGCACTGGCCAAGCCGTGACCCTTGCCCCCTCGACAACACACTATGACGTGGCATTCTCCCGTGGCTCGCTCGTGCTACTCTCTAGTACTACTACTAGTAGTAGTACTACTACAACGACGACAGCCCCATCATCCGGAGTAACAACCATCCTCCGGCACGACAACGATAGTATATGGGCAGCCGACACTATGTGGATAGCGTTTGCCGTACTTGTGGTTGTAGCAATCATCGCGTACTGTGTATTTCGCCAAACTTCTGTGGATGATATATCCCAGCCAGTGGTTGCTTCTCCGCAACCAATCGATCTCGACCTGCCAAACCACATCCCAAACCCTCCGACATCTTATATTCCCATCGACCCGGCCTTGCTAGACTGGACCGATCTGGCGCTGTATCGACTCGACAACAAGCTAGTCCTCCGTCGGCACTTTTTGGCATCGGGGGCATCTGGAGATGTTTACGCCGGCGTCTTCCACAACCAGCCCGTAGCCATCAAACAGCTTCACGTATACACGGCTACTTCGGTGCAGCGCTTTATCCGGGAAATCTCGTTGGTGGCGGCCATCCAATCGCCGCATATCGTACGCCTTATTGGAGCTACATGGACATGTCCACAGGATTTAAACGCAGTGATGGAACTCATGGGGGGCGGGGACCTCCGGGCGTTCCTAGCTGCCACCACGCGCTGCCACGTCACGTGGACGACGCGGCTACAGTGGGCCACCAGTGTATGCGAAGGGCTGTTTTACCTGCACTCGATGCACCACATGCATCGAGATATCAAGTCGAGAAATTTGCTCTTTCAAACGAAAAACGATCTTGATATATTAAAAGTCGCCGATTTCGGCAGTGCGCGCGATGTCCAGGATACTGGCGGCAGCGGGACGACCACGATGGCTGGCACATTGCGGTGGATGGCGCCCGAGATGCTGCTCTTCCAACCGTACTCGAGTGCCGTGGATGTATACGCATTTGGCGTCGTGCTATCGGAAATGGACACCCATGAAACTCCATATGCCCAACACTGTAATCAACAAGGAGATGAGATGATGCTGATTCGAAGGGTCCTGCACGACCAATTGCGGCCGTCGTTCTCAGCGGATGTGCCCGTGTGGTTTAAATTCCTCGCGCTAAGATGTATGGCCCACGACCCAGCAGAGAGACCGTCGACGTCTGAGATACTGCATGTACTACTCACCCAGCAGCGCCGATTAGAAGAACGAGATGACCAAGTACAAAATTGGACGACTACTATGTAGTACTTACTGGGAGTATATAATGTAGTCATAAGAAGGGATGAATTAATATTTTAACAGCCACGAAAAAAGTAATATGTCTGAAACCAGCAGCTTGTTTTGCAACTTTTCAGAAATATAATAGTATGACTATATTTCAATCGACAACTTTTGCGTGTTGTTTGGCTGCTACGTACCAAATGTATGGACATAGTACTACTATCAATCTATATACATTTATGCGTCGAATTTTTACTATTTTGTGATAGAAAAAATTACAACAGGTTGAACTGCAATTGTCCATTGTTTACGTGATATTATTCTATCATGGAAAGTTCACATTCCGTCATGGCATGGTCACATCGAAATATTTTTTGAAAATATTCTCACCACCCATATAAAAAGAAATAATTCACTGTCAGAATATTATTTGACATTAAATATTTTCTGTCGCATCCAGACTCGGCGTAGAGGGATTTTTCGAGGGATTTGTCCGATAATAGTTTGACCGTGTAGATAGAACATAGGGGATGTGTGAACACTACAGTAGTGTCAGTTGGAAAGAACGAATGAGTGAGTTGTGATTTGTGGTATATGTTGACGATGTGGATATAAAATATAATTATATAATTACTGCGATGGATCGATGGATTGTATTTTTTAATAAATGGTGGTGGTGGTGGACACTTTTCGCGGCATATGTATTGACAGTAAATAATAAAATAAAATGTTATTGCAATATACGAGTATTTCTAATACTATCATTGACAGTAAATAATAAAATAAAATGTTATTGCAATATAGGAGTATTGCTAATACTATTATTGACAGTGAATAATAAAATAAAGTGTCATTGCAATATACGAGTATTTCTAATACTATTATTGACAGTGAATAATAAAATAAAGTGTCATTTCAATACACGAGTATTTATAATACTATTATTATAGTAGTACTACGTAGTACTCTATTGTTGCTACATGTATTAGCTGAAACAATCAGTTCTTGCTACTTGTTCTCAACGCCCGAGTATTTTGGATATGATATTACCAATATATATATATTGAACCATCCATATAAATCAATATTAGTGGCATTTTCAATTATTTAGTACTGCACTACTGGAAGAAACCCCGACTACTTACTATGCCAACCAGAATCAAGTAAAATGGTTGATCAGCTTTTTGTCAAAACAATATTGCAAGTTGGTGCAATCAGACTTCCACTTATAGATTCTACTTACTTCGATTAAAAAAGTAATAACATTTAGTGTCGATTTAATACAAAATTGGGGAGGGGGTGCAATCGAATCGCGCCGACCAAACCGATCCACAATCGATCTGATTGGTTGAATTTCATTGAGAAGGTTTTGATTGGTTAATAATTTTGAGCTCATCTGAAGTACCCAATCAAATCGATTTAAATTCCAACGAGAAACCACAACACGAAATTTCACTGCTAATGTAGAATAAAAAGATCTTTATTTCGGAAGCACAATACTCGTTCACACTATACTTGTAACCCCCAGGATCCATGCTTCAAGTACATTCAATCTGTCAATCTAGACTATGTATACATACACGCTGAATATACTGCCCGAGGTCACCATGGGCAGTTTGGATTAAATATTACTACTACTACTAGTAATACTAGCATCTGTCTATACAGTAGTAGCGCTCACACCATAGACGACATCATTTGTGCATTCAAAATGGCTACAATCTCGGCCGGCTCTGGTCGTTGGGCGGGGTCGCTGTCCATACATTTCAGGGCCAACTCACTTAACCACGGTGGACACGTGGCCGAAAACGTCGGGCGCAAGTTCTGATACAGCACCATCGCCAGAAGCGCCGTGTCCGACACCGCGTGCCCTTTATCGTTTCGGACATGTGAATATGGAACCGCATGGGTGTCGAGCTCGGAAAGCACGACGCCAAACGAGTAAACGTCCACGGCAATCGTATACTGCTTGAACATGAGCACTTCAGGTGCCATCCATCGGTACGTGCCAGCGGCGGCGGTACTCATGGTTTCATCCACCGAGTACGTTCTAGCAGTGCCAAAGTCCGCCAACTTAATGCCCTTTGTATCGTCCAATAGTACATTTCTCGACTTTAAATCGCGGTGGATGATACGTTTCGCGTGTAAATACGCCAGCGCTTTCGCTATACTTCTGGCGCACTCGACCTTGTCGAGTGTTTGTTTAGAGTGATGGTCTGGACCTGGTGGATGATGGTCGTTGTTCAAGTACTCGCGCAAGTCGCCCAAGTTCATGTACTCGAGCACTGCGAGTAAATCGGCGGGCCGAAACCAACCCGCGCCCAGAAGCGTTACGATATGCCGACTCTGCAACGACCCGATCAACGACAGTTCGTCGATAAAGCTCTGCAAGTGTTTGCGACTTGCGCGACTTGCCAAGCACGTTTTTATAGCCACTCGCTGGTGGTGGTACTGGCCGAGCCAGACTTCGCCGTACGCGCCAGCCGCCAACGGGTGCACCAACACAATGTCCTCAAGCGGAATCTTGAACGGCTCTAGGTGGCTCCAGTTGAGACGACTTGGTTCACTCGACGACGTGAATGATATATCATCCGTAGTGTGCAGCATGCCACCACCAGTCGTGTTGGCGGCGGCGCGTGGTGGCTTTGAAGATTGGGCTCGTTTTCGATGAAAGAAGCAGAAACCTAGGGCTATGAGTATCATCACCACAGCTGCCACTGCGACACCAACGACAAGGAGGCTAGAACTCGTGGACGACGAGTCGTCGGATGTGGCCGGCGGGGCTGTGGAGTGGTTGGCTGGGGCGATCGTAGTCGTAGAGGCTATAGGAGGACTCGATGATGATGGCGATGCAATAGGGGTGGCCTGTGCGGTCCATGCAGGAGAGGCGGGATTCGTAACGGGTGCAGTGAATGATGACACTGGAGCAGAAGTGGATTGGCCAGCATTCGTAGTCGGCAGAGGGGTAGAGTCCGTTGGAAAAACGGCGTTGGTGGATGACGACGAAGGCGGTGGTGGTTTGGACGTGTTTGAGGGTCTGGTGGTGGTGGTCGACGACGGTGATGGCACAGATGGAGGCGGCGACGATGTAGACGGGACGACTGCCGGTTGCGACGACTCTGGCGGCGCTTGTGTGGTAGGCGCGGTTGAAACTGGAGGTGGGGTTGGCGGTTTGGCCGTCATGGCCGGCGGGATAGTCACCTGTGGTGAGCCCGGAGTGACCACGACCACGAGGAGGACGACGAGAGCGGCCCAGGAAGTCGTCATGACTGTATTGTCCTGGTTGTCATACGCGACTGAGAAATATTATCCGGACAGAATATTGTTGCCCTTTTCCAACTTAAATGCAAATACTAGTAGTACAATTCCTCTGAAAAACACTGCAATTTGAGTGTTACTGTCATAGTAATATGGAGTTTGTGACCACCTCACGTCGTCTTACATCTGAGTCGGTAGCGATAGCTACGTTACCAGTAGTGAACCCTCAGGTTTAGTATGTACTCATTGGGGTAGGACGCAGTCCCACGTTACAGGGCTATGGAGCAAACATGGGCTAATTCCCGCATAATATATATTGAAACATTAGTATTTTGGGTAAAGGAACAATTGTTAATCAAATTAATCACGGAAAATCGATTATTAACCCTATACAAAGTCAAATGCAAGTCAAGTATACATAAGAATAGGCTTGATTATACTATGGTTTCGTCCACGTGAGAGATTCTATCACCCAGAACTTCAATCGTGCCAAGATCAGAAATGGTGTATTTTTAAAAATTTCTTTTAGTCCAAGAGCGAGAGTAAGCCAATCAAACGTCAGTATCGTCGAGTCTGATTGGTTGGTGCCTCGCTTGCTTGTTTCATCCAATGTCGAATATGTGTTATTGGCCAATATATATATATATAGTTGTATATACTGTCCTCGTTTTGTGAGTTTTAATTAGCGAATTTACCGAAAATACCACTAAATTTAGCTCGAAAGCACAATATTATTCTCGTTCCAGGAGGACTTTCCACAGCGAATCGGCCAAGTCGGTGGCTTGTTGGGCAGTTAAAAGCGGCTGACAACATATGTACAAGGTCCCCACAGCTGGCTTGACCACACCAAGTGCTACCATCGTGTCCGACCGAATGAAATACATCGACGCCGATGGTGGGGCGGAAGAACAAGGGGGGCCGCCCAGCACGAGGGGCGGCTGCGACAGAGTATGCAGGTGCTGGTGTAATGTGTGATACAGTCGGAGGACATGGAGTCGCCATGCTGGACAGTCCAGCAAGGTAGATTCTACACGAAATAGAGTGTACTATGTGACACGGTTCACAAGGATGGATGTTTGGGTTAACTAGAACACAACACATTTCATATTGCTTGTATACTTACTTGTATATAAAGAAGAATACTCCCCCAGTTGCACGTAAATAGTAAATGCCAAATCTTGAATTTTGATAAGGACGAGTCTGGAGCATTTCATGTCAAATATAATATATTCTGACAGAAAACTATTCCCTTTTCAAATGGGAGGTGAAAAATAAATATTTGAAAATATATTAATGTGACCTCTGAATGCCAAGGTGGAATGACACGTATTGCTGGGTAATATCAAGGTGGTAAAACTTGAACAGTTGCATTTGAACCATATTTTCTGTCAGAAAATAGTAAAAATAATAATTTCCACGTACGATGTCCCTTTATATGTCAATAGATTTGGTAGCCAAACACAAAAAAAGCTGTCGTTTGAAAATTGTCATAGTATTATTTCTGAAAAGTTGCAAAACGTGGGGTTTTCTGATATTTTTTGTGGCAGCCAGTGTGGCCCAAAGGTAAACCATCAATATCGCGAATATCCTAATAATTGATTTGTGAATTTGAAATTATATAGTAGCGTCAAAGGAATGATGAAACATTTTTGTCGAAAGGTCGAAGTATTTTTCGTGGTGTTTGTATTCATGGAATATAAACTTTACAAAATATTATACCTCGATATCAACACGCGTTTTGATTTACATATATTTTACAACCAATTTGAATGCATGATAATAGAATACAATTTGAAATTTGACCAAAATATTTTGGCAATTTTTAAGACATTGGCAAATAATGAAAATTATATTGTCTGGATCCAAAATTGGGAGAATTCAATATTTTACCAAATTTCGAATTTTTCGCCAAAAACTATAAAAAAGAAGGTCAAGGGACTATTTTGTCTTCTGAAAGTTGTTGGCAAGAACTGAGAATAGTAGATATTTTCTTTCGAAATCTGTTTGATCCAGACAGTCAAAAGTAGAAAACAACCAAAATCATCGAAATTACTTTGAATTAAATATATTTTCGAAATATTAATTGACGCAAAAAATTGGGGTGAAATCAGACAACATAAAACTAACACATAGACTATATGAACTTCAAGGCGGTTTCTGTTGAACTGAATATTATAATCATATCCAATGAAAAGTCCTCATTCCAATATGAAGCCATTGGATTGGATATAAAATGACAACCGATCGCGATATGGATGGCAATAGTATTTTAAAAAATGTTGGAATTTAAATTGGACAAGAATTGCTTGAAAAAATATATAATACAATCCACACCGACAAGGATATTTTCGATCGATTCATGTGACTGTCTGGATCCGGCATGACATATATCAGTTTTGGTCTTAATTTAAAATGAATATAAAATGTTTTCGTGTCCATTTTAATCAATGCTGTTCTTGGTCAATACAAAAACTGCAAATCGATTCGAATAAAGCATTCATTCCAAGTGTCGTTCACAGAGAATAGTATCTTGATGCAAATCAGCTTTAAATATATACCAAATGAGAAATATATAGCTCGCAAATTGATGAGGGTTAAACTATTATAATTGGACAAAAAAGCCTCCGCTTCCTAGAATATATATATATATATATATAATGCATTGATGGACAAAAATATCTCCGTTTGCTAGAATAAATATATATATATATAATGCATTGATGGGCAAATATATATATATATATATATATATATATATATATATATATATATATAGAATACCTTCAAAAGGAGGTGACAGGTATTCGTGGGTCTGGTACGATTGATAAAAGTAGTGCAATAAGAGGGGTTCGAAGGTCGTTCTCGGCAACGTTGCGGACATAACAAACGTCGGAATGACTGTGTCTTGTTCCGTAGGAGACGTTTCGAACGTTTGCAGCAACAATGGCTCGAGAACGCGGCGGGTTTGGGTTTGAAACGCGTGGAATTGGCTCTGGCTCTGGTCGTTGCTGAGCAATAAAACGCTCATGCCGTTCGAAACAAACAGCACGTAGCCGTACAGAAACCCGCCGCGGTTAAATGTCGGCAAACACAGCGGCGTCCATGATTCAGACGTTCGGAACGATGGCATGTGCTGCAATATGTGCAGCAGCACGTGGACGTCTAGGTAAGAAACGTCTGGTAAAAGTCATGGAGAAAGGACAGGCATACCTTCGATGGGAAGGGGGTGGTCGGGAAGCCCTTGCTTGAATGCGACGACACCATCAGCATGCGAGATCAACCCGAACACAAGCCCTGGTACGTCCATGCAGCTCTGGATGTGTCGACGCGTGGTGGTCGTCGATGGAGGGATGGGAATCAATCGCACGCCGATGCCGTCCAGCTGAGGCCACACTTCGGATGTCCACGCGGACACGACTGCCATGAGAACGCCGTGGGTACCGTAGAGAAGGTTGCGCAGGTCGTAGTTTGGGTTGGATTCCATGAGCGACACTCCGTTTTGGGTCAAGAACACGAGCAAGTGATGTTTGAGCAGGTGGAGCAGTCGACCAACGTTGAGTCCTTCAACACAGCATGTAGTTAATGTCAAGAACGCCGAGTCTTACCTCGAAGGGAAGGCGGGGTCGCACAGAAGAAGAGCAACGGCGGACATGGCAGGAACGTCAGCACGTGCGTCGGCGTCGTGATCTGCCTCAATGCGTCGTCGGCAAAGCTGCTTATACCCTGGATCAAGCCTGCCGTGGACACGTTGGAGCAGTCATCGTCGTCCTTGGTCGAGAAGATGGGCTTCCCAGCGCCGCTCAAGATGTGAACTTCCGGCAGACTCAGCATGCCTACAAAGATTGCACTTTCTTCGAAAACTGTAAAATCCAACAAAATATTTGCCATTTTTTCATAGTATTTTTGTGTTTTAGACAATTGTATATTTATCTCTAAATATCCTAGTAGTACTACTAGTACTACTGCTACTAATAGTATATTTTGAGTTACAGTAGTAGTAGTACTAGTAATAGTCACTAGTAGTACTAGTAGTACTAGTAGTACTACCGGTAGTTAGTTGTTCAAGGCTGCTATCACCTTTAATATCGTCATTTTGATTGGCTGTTTGTCGGGAAATCGGGGAGCGTGATTGGCTCGTCGAAATTCACCAATTCACTTGAAATATGTGTGGATTCGATGATATTATGAACATGCGAAAATGCATATATATCGAATATTCCAACAATAAACTTGATCAAAGTATATCCTTTTTTGAAAATTGATTGCATGACTATTTATTATGTATTAGTCCACTTCTGACATTGCTTGGAATTCAGTCGCCGATCCACCCACTGACTATTTGACCTCTCTGTCAATTTCATTTCCATATTTTGATACAACGTGGGAGGTGTGTGAGTGATGAAGGCTGTGGTCGTGTCTTTGATGGCGGCGGTGGCGGTCGGCCAGTCGGCCTGCCCTGGCTTGGAGTACAACGTCGACTACGACGGTTATGACATCACGTACACTGACCGCGCGACGCCAGCGGAGTGTACGGCGGACTGCGAGAGCACCCCCGGCTGCAAGTTGTTTGTGTGGTACCAGAACCGGTGCTGGCTCAAGTCGTTCGGAGGATCCAAGAAGACATCGTCGCCTGACCGTGTGTCGTGTGTGTTGACTCAACCCGTCACGGCGTCTCCCACGTGTGCGGGGTTGGAGTACAACGTCGACTACGAAGGCAACGACATTGGCACCACATCGCGCGATTCAGCCGACGAATGCGTGGCCGACTGCATCCACACCCGTGGGTGCAACGTGTTTGTCTGGTACTGGAACACATGCTGGCTCAAGTCTGCCGCCGGCCACAAGCGGTACCTCCAAGACCGCATCGCATGCGCGTTGACGGCGCCGGCGCCTCAGCCCACGCTTGTATGTCCTGCCGTGTACTACAACGTCGACTACGAAGGCCACGACATTGGCGCCACGTCTCGCGAGTCGGCCGACGAATGCGTGGCCGACTGCCAAAACACTCCCGGCTGCAAACTGTTTGTGTGGTTCCAGGGCCAGTGCTGGCTCAAGAGCCAGAAAGGCAACACCCACTACCTCCCTGGCCGCAACTCGTGCGTGCTGGAGGCGTCCACTCCGTCCACTGCCACGTGTCGTGGCTTGGAGGCCAACATTGATTACGCCGGCTACGACATCTCGTACACCGATCGGACCTCCCCGGCCGACTGCACAGCTGACTGCCAAAAGACTCCTGGGTGCAAGCTGTTTGTCTGGTTTCAGAACCAATGCTGGCTAAAGAACCAGCTGGGCGAACGACGTGAGCTTACTGACCGCGTCGCATGTATCTTGACAACGTCCTCCTCCGACGCACCTACTACACATACTACTACTACGACGACATCTGCTGCACCTACTAGCACCACCAGTGTGCCAGACTACCAGGACGACGACGAGAACACGGACGCGCCTACTACTACTACTACTCTCAAGCCCACGACTACGATCACTACCACCACCACGGTGGATGCACCTACTACCACCCGTGCCCCTCGCCCTTCCTCTGAGCCAATCAAACCGCTTGAAACTGGTCCTCGCGGCACCGCTGCACCTGCCGGCACCCTGGAGCCGTGGGATAGCCAAGGGACTCCTGCACCTACCACAGACATCCCCGACCCGGAAGAGTACACGGAACCCCCGGCTGCACCCACCACAACCACGTTGAAGCCCCTGGAAACCGGTCCTCGCGGCACTGCTGCACCTGCAGGCACCTTGGAGCCGTGGGATAGCCAAGGGACTCCTGCACCTACCACAGATATCCCCGACCCCGACGAGTACTTGGACATAACTGTGTCCAACCTGTCGGTTCAGAAGGAGGTGACGAGTGTGGTGGGTCTTCTTGTGGCTGGCGTGGCGGTGGTTGCGTTTGTACTCGTGATGAAGCGGCGCCGGGCGGCTGCTGCACCTACGTCTGCTGCACCTATGGCCGAACGCAAGCGACTGTTGCAAGTGTAAATAATGTAATAGACGTACGTATACGTTACTCTGAAAGGTGTATATGTCCAGTTACATATATAGTTTGCACGTTGTAGAGGCTTATACTCATACTCCGGAGTACTAATAGTAGTAGTAACCTGAAATCTTACAATATTCTGGCCCAAATCGCCATTATGGCAAGTAAATTCTAAATTTTCAACTCTGATTGGCCTATATACTTCGAAATTCGATTTCAATAACAAATCAAACCAACTGATTTATAATAGCTAAACCTGATTGGCCACAATACACACATAAACTTCGGTGTGGCTTAAAATCCTTCGTTTGGAAACATGTATTTTAACCCAAATCCAGTAATTCCATATTACAAAGTGTACCTTTTACCCCCATTTTGTAATAGGGCGTTTTGGACCTCGTCAAGGAGTAAATCCCTCCTGGAATTGTTGGATTTGTTTCTTATACGTGTATCAGATTTATTGAACTCAGCTCCACAATTGCATTTTGGATCAGAATATTGTAATATTTCACGTTGCCAGATACTAGTATTTTGCAAGAAAATGGAATATTATTTTGGAAATATTACCAGATACTGGTATTAATACCAGTACACAGTAACGTAAATGATCAATAGATGAACCCCTTAGAATATTAATTTCGATTATAACGACTTGGACTAACTTTCAACTGTGAAGTTAAAGAGAATTAAACGTATTTTATCATATATGCAAGATTTGAAGGATTCGACGTAGGTTCACCAACCTGTTGCTAGCCAAAGTCAAAATTGTGAATTCTGAGGATATATCAGTAGATGACCCTATTTTAGCCTTGATTGTGAATACACTATACAGTACATTTGGGCTCCCGAAGTTTCGTAACTATATCAATGTTACCAGCCAGATGCACACTTACAGTTAATCCAATTTTGTTGAGATTAATCGAGGTACTTCATAAGGTGATTCATGTAAGCACCGCCAACAATACAATTTCCGCCCAATTAGCAGGCTATCAGAGTCATCAAACCAAGATGATTAGACAAAATTTCGTGCTCAGGTAAATAATAGTTGTAGAGATTAGTATTTTCATTATTTAACAAGCCATTTAATCGCATAATATTACAATAATGACTACCAATAATGACTACTAAATTGAATATTTTCTACTGGTACGCTTTATAAAGATTGATTCTGAGAATTGCGGTGGTCAAATCTTTCATAAATTATTCAAGTCTAGCACCTGGGCGGAATTTGCACAACTGTATGTTAGTATACCAGGCCATTTTCGAATTACACCGTTGGTACACCCATTATTGCACGAAATTGTCGGCACTAATTACCAGCCACAAATTTCTGGAATTGCATCACACATGTATTAGTGAGGACTGCACTAATTCTGAATCCACAGTGATTCTCAATCCGTACTAATTACGGTCAACGGTGTACCCAGCCAAATCTCACAACTATCTCAAACGGATCAGCCCACAGCATCTACCAGAATGTATGTACATGCTGTGGGCTTGATCGCATATCAATATGTGGAGTATTGCATGAGTACAGTAGTAGCTTCCTTCAATATGCAGCATATATTATATGATTTTCATCTCTTCTACACCAACCAAAAACGAATTTCGACTGTATTTTTGCAAAACAAATCGGTCTGCAAATGGCAAGTTGACTGTACTGGTAAAGTAGGAGTACAGGGAACGACATGCTAAGGGCTCCTCTGGATACCACGCCATAAAAATATGCCAAAACTCGAAATGAGATTTTACAAAATTTGTCCAAAATACAAACGCAATTCAAAAACAAGAGATGGTGAAACCGTCTGGATTCATCCGGATTCAAACTTGCGCGCCAAAACAATGGTCACGGCCATGATGATCCTGCTTCGTCGGCGGCGCCTCAAGCGACGTCGCATGATGTTGATGTCATGCCTGGTCTACCACTACTCCGCCTACCTCTTGAATACGTCAAAGCGGGTCTCCATCTTGTCGGGGGCGTTGTGGGTTGCCGAAATACTGCAAGGAAACGAAGATGCCTTCGAGGAGACATTTCGAATGTCCCGTGATGCGTTTGGTGGACTGCTGCACGATCTCGTCCAATGTGATGGTCCAAAGGCCCATCTGTGTGCTGTGGGGTTGCTGCGTTTTTCGAATTGCGCCGTTTTGACAGAACATCGATGTTGAAGTGTTATAAATATGGACTGTCTTTGCAGGAGAAATTGACCATTTTGGTCCATTTTCTGATGCCATAATTCGTGAACTTTCTACCTATAATTTTGTAATATTTCCTTTGGATTTTGTGGTATCCAGACGAAACAACTTCGCGACTTTGTCATTTCGCCATTTTATGGAGATTTTCGTCATTTTATGCCATAATTCGTGGCATCCAGAGGAGCCCTAAACGTCGTTCCCTGTAGTTACCCTAAGTGGTACTGAAAGTGGTAACTTACCGAAGTTTCTGAAAGTCTGTCTACCCACTTGGCACACTAACTTCTACTATTTTAATAGTAGAAGTTAAAATAGTAGTACTACGTACGTAGTAATAGTATTAATACCAGTACGATTTCTAGTAAGTAGTACTACTTAGTACTCTTAATAACGCTATTAATAGTACAACATTTCAACATTTTGAAAGGGCTTTATACTAACTACCGTATACCCGCTTCAGTACCTATGAAAAATGTCAGTGAAAGTACTATTAATATTTACTATGTAGTACTACTACTGTACTAGTACAACGAATCCCAAGCCAGCCACTCACATTGTACAAATAGTACTGTATATTTATGCATTTATATATTCTGTAGTAGGAATTGAGAACAAAAACTGAATCCTTCGAGTAGTACTAGCCTTCAACCGACTACTACTACTAGTACTACTACTACTACACGCTCCCCATCATCCTCATATGTTTACACGTGCAAGAGGCGCTTGCGTTCTTCCGACGGAAGCTGTCGTTGGTGACGTCGTTTCACCACCACGACCGCGACCATGGCCATCATGACGACCCCTGCCAACACCAACCCCACAGTCCCATTCACTTGTTCTTCTTGCACAGCGTTCAGGTTGACAGCGCCATGACTAGCTTGTTCGTCGCGAACGTTGGCAGCAACGAGCAGCCAGTCCAACGTCGGGTCAAACTGAATGAGTTCATATGCGTGAATGTCCGTGCCGCCGTTGCCGTCGATCGTACAATGCGGCTGCTTCTTGATGATCGATTGGATGTCGGCGAACAAGTCGCGGCATCTCTTGTTGACTTGGATGGCCTTGAGTTGCTTTGTGGACGGTAACTTGGTCAGTTTGAAGATGCTCGAGTACAACCCCGTGCCAGCTAAGCACGAGTAAAAGCTCGTCTTGAGCGCGAGGCCAGCAGACAGAGCCCATTTGCTGCAGTTTGTCCCCACCTTGGGGTACGATTCCACGATCAACGCTGTCACAGCCATGTCAAACGATACATTGCGGCCTGCCACCAGAGCCAGCTGCTTCTCTTGGCGGCAGTGCTGGGCCTCGTACGCTTGTGTTTTGTCAGCGTAGAACGCCCGGCAGTTGTCGGACGCATTGAATTTGAGAACCTGGCTCAATGTGGGCTTCACTTGGGGGTTCTTGAAGGACGCACTGGATACTTCCATGTCCACGGCGCACTTGTTAGCCGATGGCGAGCTAAAGGACGCAGCATCCGCGGCAGCCAAGTCGGATGCCGTGCATTCGCGATCGCTGTTCAAAGAGCCATCGACTTGACTCGACGAAGTAGTTGAGTTGGTGATCACTGGTTCTTCTTCTTCCAAGTCAGGCAACGCGCCAATGGTTGGCGCTGGAGTGCCGCCAGCTTGAGATGGTTTGGTCACGGCGGGAGTGGGTACTGGGACGACGACCACAGGGATGGTGGTGGTGGTGGTAGTAGTACTACTAGTAGTACTAGGTGCAGTGGTAGTAACTTCGACAATATTATCCGGGCTGCTGGTCGTAGGTTCAGGAGTGTCCTCTTCGTTGTCACGGATGGAGTAAGTAGGTTCAGGCGTGCCAGAAACCGACGGCTTGGTCGCAGCTGGTGTAGGGAGCGGGGCTTCGGTGGTCGAAGGTTCAGGAGTCACAGTAGTAGTAGGTGCAACGGTTGTTGTGGTTGTAGTAGGTGCAGCGGTAGTAACTTCGACAATGTTGTCCGGGCTGCTAGTCGTAGGTTCAGGAGTATCTTCTTCGTTGTCACGGATGGAGTAAGTAGGTTCAGGCGTGCCAGACGTTGCTGGCTTGGTCGCAGCTGGAGTAGGGAGCGGGGCTTCGGTGGTCGTAGGTTCAGGGGTCAAAGTAGTAGTAGGTGCAACGGTTGTTGTAGTGGTAGTAGGTGCAACGGTGGTAGTAGTAGTAGTAGGGGCAACGGTGGTGGTGGTGGGTGCAGGGGTCTCTTCTTCGATGAGGTCAGGGAGTACGGTGGTAGGTGCAAGGGTGCCGACGGTGGCTGGCTTGGTCGCCGCGGGGGTCGGCAGCGGTTGAGGCTCAGGTGTAGCCATGGCAGATGCCACAAGGACAGCTACACTGATCAGAGACAGCTTCATCTGAACGCGGGGAATTTCACAATGAAAGTCAATGAACAAAGTGCACAGTGCCGAGGTCGTCAATGGATTGGACCAATCACAGCTCGAGAGGAATTTTCACTAGCCAATCAAAGCTGTCCTATCACCAATCTACGGTATCTTTCCAAGGTGTTGGCTCCTCTATTTATGTGAACAAATATATAAGGATGAAATACACTAAGTACTTAACGACGTTACAGTACAACGTTATTATAATAGTATGGAATATTTGGGACGTTTTTTGCTAATACATACATTATATATAATGTAGTCGTTGGGTAAAAGTATCAATATCTGTCGATCGTATACTGAATTCAAATGTAACAACCACAAAGCACGGTTTCGTACTAAATGCAGCACTAGTATGTACTAGATGGTGCCCTTACAGCCATTCATTCATATTGCTCTCAAACTTATACAGTATGTAGTGCACGTTGGCTGGACCAAGGTGCGGCATACCATACTGTAATTTTCGTTGACGATGGTCTGGAACGTGCACAACATTTCATAGTAGTACTAGTACTGATTGTAGTAGTACTAGTACTAATAAAAGTAATAATACTACTATTAATAGTACTGGTATTAATAGTACTGATTTGTGACGACTGCATGATATTTCACCTTTAGACAAGCGACTTGTAAGGATTGGGTGGGTTGCTTCGTGTGATAGTATTACTACGCCATACCTAGTACTACTACTAATATCAATGGAATACTTGCACCGCCAGTAATCGGAGCTCTTCCTCCACAGGCACGACGATGGCAGGTTCTCGGTGGTTGCTGTACACGACATAGACAGCAAAGACGACGCCAGTGCCAACCAGCATGGCTCCCAGTATAACACCCGCTCCATGCTGCGTGGGATTCCTGGGGAACTCTATCGCATTCGTCGACGTGTTTTGATGGGTCCATCCGTCATGATAACTTGTCGCGAGGAATTCCAGCCAACTTAGCGCGAGATCAATTGACAAGTGGGCTATGGCTTGCACGGGGGTGCCTTCTTGGAACAATGCACACGTAGGAAGCTTGGAAAGGACTCGTTGCAAGTCGCTCCACAGAGCCCCTGTGCACTGGCCGTTGACGCGCAGCGCATGTAGCTGGCGTGGCGAAGGAAGGCGGCGAAAGGCAGTGGACGCATTGAGTCCTGCGGCTGCTAGGCATGTAAAGTAGGTGGGTTGAAGGGCCACTTGAGTTACGACTGCTTGAACATGGCTCACATTGCATAACGTCGCTGGTGGGTACGAGGTCTTAGCATTGATATACGACAGGAATAGATCGAATGTTGCGCTGGTGGCCAGCGTGAGCTCGATGCACGACTCGTTAGCAACTGCAGCTTGGAACTCTCGAAATAGCCACTGGCAGTTGGCCGAGTCTTTGGCCAAACCCAACTGGGTACTTGTAAGCCACGACGAGGTCACAGCGTCAGGTGACCAGTAGTAGCCCACGTCGGCCGCGCACAGGTCCACGTACTCGCTAGTAAACATTCTTGTTATTTGGTGGATCGCGTCAGACACTTGGGCGTTGGAGCAGAACGGTATCGCAGGAGACACGGCGGCCATGGTAGCCAGCATCATCATCATGATTGCAATATGCGATGGGGGCATGAGTGAGACCAAGAGTGTGGTGGGGGTAATCAAGAAGAATGACCGATGGAATGTGTACATACATATAGGTGGGGGTAATCAAGAATATGGCCGATGGAATGTGTACATACATATCAGCAAGGCGCCAGTTGAAGCGCCGCCATGTACAGTAGTCACGATGTGGCCTGTATGTGTTTTGCTAGGACGGAAGTACATAAGAACACGGTACAGTCTCGTGGGTTCAGTCACACATGAGTACATACATGTATGCACATACACTTACCAAGCATTCACAACGAACGTAAGAGCATATGTACGGGATATGCTGAATCCCATTGCTCGGACTATACGTATATTGATAATAGTATCTTACTGTTATTAATATAATACGAAGTATATTTCAATTCTTGACTGTGAAGCAGAGTTCAAACACTGACTGAGAAGAATTACTGTGTGTTGAAGTTATATACTCGAGTACTACTCAGAGATTTGCAATCGCCGGACCCGCGAAATATAATATATAACTATATTTAACAGGTCTCTTTTGTGTGTCAGCAATCCTTCATTCTTTTTAGCCAATCATATCGGGTGTTTTACTCAAAATCAATTTCCTATAAGGCGGTTGGTTAACAAATGAACCGGCGAACATTCGCCGGACATTCGAAATTTTATTTCAAACAGTTGTAAGTTGAAGAGGTATTGTGAATTCGCTATAAACTTCCAAAATTCGCCTGTTTATCTACCGTATACCCCCTGCTTCACTGTCAGTACCTATGAAAATGTCATTCTACGGAATTCGTAGGCCAGAACTTGACTTTTGTATGCAATGTATGCAATCGTAGGCGCACACCCCTACGATTTCACCATTTCGAAATCCTCAACTTCAATTTTTTTCCAAGTTATATACGAATTTGTAGCAAACATAAAATTTCGCAATTCTTTTGTGAATTGACGAAATCATAGGGAGCTAGCTGGCCCTACGATTTTCATATCCAATATTGGTTAAATATGAAATCGTAGGTAATCTCCCTACGAATTCCATAAGTCAGTAAAATCTGATCAAAACCGGTACAGCTCCAAGCAAAACTATTCAGGCATGCGCATTGGTCTAAATCCATCACAGGACTTATATTTCATTGGATGAAAATATTTAACGCATTGTAATTGGATATTTCTGTCCAATTATAGACAACTAGGTACACGCCCAACCTGAACCATGAAAACCATGAAAAGTATGTTCCAAACCGGTACAGGTCCAACCGGAGAAATCGTAGGTACTGAAGCGTATACGGTAATCAATATTGAATCACGCCGGAGTTCTGATTGGTTGAATATACTTGTCCTTTCTGCAAGAGCCAATCAAATCCACCCAAAAACGGATGAGCCAATCGCGTCGATTCGTGATTATTCGATCCGGCGGCAAGATTCGATTCGACAGTGTCTGGATATCTATCAACAAATCCACAATATGTTTGTGATTCCAACCAATCTTTTTAGCCAATCATTTTGCAACCTTCATTGTTTATAGCCAATCATACACCTTTGCTCGATTAGTCGACGATTTCATCAATACAAAACAGGCACAAAAAAGCATCCCAAGAAATTGAACCATAGTACAAAAAAGCACCCTACTATACAACTATCTTTAGTATGGTGTCCATGCTACTATAAATACTAGTATATTCAACCTGTCCAATTAACCAATTTCCCCCCCCAAATACCCCTAGTATTCATATCTTTATAAATTACTCTGCGTCCATAAGCCTTGCATATTCGGCAGCATGTTGCTCCAAATGGCGCAGCATACTTCGCCGGGCCTTGTCGGCATCTACTTGGTTGAATGCATCCACATTCAAGAGGTCCTGGAGATCGGGAAACTCGACGCCGGCCTCCTTCAGAGCTAAAAATGTTCGCAGCATGTGCTGGGCTGCCAGCAGCATGTACACTCCGCAGTCGAACCCGTTGTTTTGCTGGGGTCCGCGGAGTTTTTCCGTTAGAATAGCTGCGTCTTGTATACCGCTATGCAAGCTGAGAAATGTCTTCAAATGACTCGTGATCTTGGGTTTGCGGTGGTAGTTGCCCATGGAATCGATCGTGGCAATGCATGTCGGTGGCTTGTCCTACTCGATAATCGTTAATTGAGGTACTAGTAGCTCCACTCGTACGGATGATCTTGTGGACGAGGTGAAGTGCTTGGGGTACAACACGACAGCCAAACTCCAGTGCATCCTACAACGAGGACCTCGTTCGTTCATCGAATTTTTATATTTTTTAAAAAATATCCAAGTGTTTGTATCTATAACGACTACAATAGAATCACGAGAGATAACTGCATGTTGAATTTTATATATATATATATATATATATACTCAAGTGGAAAATAATATATAATATATAAACGTACTGCAGGTTAATTGGCACGAAAATGAGCTGGTTGTCCAATAAATCCTTGGAAAACCACGTCGCGACGTTGTTGTAGTCGTCGCGCAGCTGACTGTAAAAGTGCGAGCTCAAAATCGTACAATACGCCGCACTGGCTGGCAAATCCACCGCCACGAGCCACCTACACAACATATATTAATCTATCTATATATATATATATCAAATATAATATATATATAAATCAAATATATGTATATATCAAATATAATATATATATACCAAATATAATATATATACCAAATATAATATATATATATCAATTATAATATAAATATATAAATCAACTATAATATATGTATATATCAAATATATATATATATATCAAATATAATATATGTATATCAAATATAATATATATCTTGTCGTGTGTATTCAAAACTGGAGCAACGGGCGGGTCGCCGACTGGTCGTATCGCCAATTGTGCAGACATCATGTAGCCAATCAGATTGCAGACACTCGTCCGTTCACCCAATCAAAAAGCACGCGAAATCATGTACTGTAGTCCCCAAAAGTCCATATTATTCTTACAATATATATATATCATATTGAAGAACGTACTTGAAGTAATAATCCACGAGGTTGTCGTTCAAGTACTCGGCTGGTTGGAGTCGATCCAAGTCGTTTTGAGTGATGGAAATCACATCTGTGACATGGGGAGGCAGCGGATATACGAGCACAATCGGAGATGGCTCTGCGACACGGTGCGACGGCCGCGCCTTTTTGGTATTGGTGGTTTCAAGCAGCATATTATTGTACTTGGCATACTCCGTGTCACGTCTACAAATATGCGGAATATTATACATGTGACACGGTTGAAATATGTGTGACACTGTACAAGTCTCGCCATGACCACTGGAGGGTTTCACGGAGGCGCTCCATGGCCGCCGCCGACGTATCGGAACCAACTGGCTGGACGACCACAAACTGATCCGACTTGAGCACCACCACAAAGAACGATGGCGCGCGTCTACAACACGTTTCGAATGATAGAAAACAGAGCACATATATGGTGTTTCAAACGTCTGCGTTCGAAACGCATTAATAGAATCATATATATATATATTCTCACACGAATAGATGTCTAGACCCCGACGAAACGCATCACAAAGATCGACGCGATTGGCTCATCGATTTTTGAGTGGATGATTTGATTGGCTCTTATAGAAAGGATACAAGTATATTCAACCAATCAGAACTTTCAGGAGGATTATTCAACATTGATAGTAGACAAACCAACGCGAATTTTAAAGTTTATATCGAATTCACAATATATATATATATATATATAATACTAACAAAAACACAAGCATGCAATTCTAAACATGCACAGACAACAACATATATACATTATATATATATATATTGTCCAGTGGATTCGACATTCGAGTGATGGGGGGGGCTCAATCGAAGGAGCAGTATGTAGTATACCATAAATATCGGCTGAATATTGATATATCGACCAATCAAAACCCAGATCAAGAATATCGACCAATCAAAACCCAGATCACGAAAACCAAGTAGCCAATCAAATGATCCATTCTTTCACCAATCCAATATCGAATTAGTATGTGGGACTTCAATGAGTGTGACACTGGGCGATGTTTTCATACAAAAATCAGGACAAACAATCAATAGATTGAGTTTGCGGATCAGCACCCAAATCAATATATATATATATATATATATATACCGTACAAGAGCTCGGCGATGGACGTATAGAGCACGACGTGGCGGCGGCCCCAGCGCATGTCGTGGTGTGTAAAATGCAGCGTTTCATGGCGCAAGCGGTCGTTTTGGTAGCAAATCCACTGGCACGGCAACTCCACCCAATTGTCTGGCGCACTAGTACTACTAGTACTAGTAGTACTAGTAGTAACCTCGTGAATGGGCGTATTGTCGTCTTCGTTTTCTGAATCCGACAAGTGGATGGGTTTCTCGGCGGTTCCGCCAGAGTTTCGCTTGGTTTGTTGTTCGAAATCTGCGACACGGTTGGGCTGCGTCGTCGAATTCTGTTTAGAATCTGCGACACGGTTGGAGCTGGTGGCGCCATATGCGGACGCTGGGATGATGCGGCGGGAAACCGTCGGCGCGTCGTGGTAAAACATATCGTCTGTGACACGGGGTGGTCCAGAGGGTACCCGTTTCTGTCGCAGAGGATGCCTCGTGTCGCACATGTCATTATCGGGGGTGGATGCGGCGGCTGGGGTCAAGCTGCGGCGCCGGCTTGTGGACGGGATGGATTTGGCGGGTGGTTTCTTCCCGGGGGGCGTGAGGGACATGGCGTGATGGGGAGTCCAGGACTTGCCGCCGCTGTATGCTTCCAAGATCCCGGGCTGGACAGGGCGACTCACGGTCATGAGGTTCTTGTGCGGTTTGCTGTACGAAGCTCCAGTAGCAGCACGTGTGGTTGTGGCGGGTGGAAGCGCCGCCGTCGTCTGTCTCGTGGCTTCGGTTCGCATGAGAGCGTGTCCTGGAATGATCTTGGAGGACGGGATGTTCTGACGATGATGCGACGGCGGCTGCTTGATAAACTGGTTCGACGTCGAGTAACGTGTGGACGAAGTCGAGATCGCCGACACGGCAAAGCTGGGCACCGGGTCGTTGTGCGCCCACGAATGGTTGCCCATGCTCCGGGGTTTCTTTCGGATGGGTGCAGATGCTGCTGCTGATGATGCCTTGGACGGCCGCCCAAACCCGGTGTCCCGTCGATTCACGTTGGTCGGCTTGTGCTCGGTGTGCTCGGCAAGTCCCCTGCGAATGCCAAACTGTCGCTTCTTCTTGGCCGTGTCAGGGCTCGGCACGTTCATGATGGAGTCTATTTCGTCGTCCAGCGCGGCGAAATTGGGCTGCTCGGTCATCGTCTATCGTCGCCGCCGTCGCCGCCGCCGCTTTAAGTGGAATTTGTTTGGTGTCAAATTTGAAGAATTGAACGTTTTCAGACGTTCTATTGAAATCACGTTTTACCTGCCACTACATAAAACGTTTGCGCTTGATTCATCACCTTGTGGCTTTTTCCACTAAAACGTCGTTTCGAAATAGAGTTTAAACGTTATATATATGCCGTTTCAGACGGGGTTTACATATACTAGTATAGTAGTGCAAAAGCGCACAAAGTTCCAACGGCCACGTCAGCACCACGACCATATCGCATTCATAAGTCCCGAATACAATAGGTCTGGATTTTGGCAATATTTCACATCTTGTAGATTTAACATTCGATACGTACAAGTCGAGTTATTACTAAATTAACGTTATGGCAGACTTGGAGTTTTACGTTAAGACTAAGTTTACGTTAAATTTGCAAATTGGACTTTTACCCTCCCGTTCCAAAGTACTTCGAAGTACAGTTAACGTTACTGTATAGTAGTATACGGATTTTTGCGATGGATTGATCTATTGCGAGTCCTGTAAGAACTAATAATTTTCTTGTAATAACTGGTACTACCTCCATCCGAAAATTAGTGATTGATTTGGGAAATTCGTCATATTTCAAAGAGTTTTGTCAATTTTTTCGAGGAAAATGTATCAGCTGGCTCGGGAAATCAAGCACTACAGTACTGGCAATAAGTTTAAAGCCACCCTATAATTGGTGTGGTTTGAAGATTCTATTGTAATCATGGTCGTGCCAAGTTATTCAATCAATTCAAGCATCGATTCCATGGCTTTTGCATTCACTTCACCGCCTAAATCTGTCCCTCACTCAACCAAAGCACAAAAACGCAAAATTAGGCAAATTTAACCTGGCAAAAAGTATAAAACCACAGCGTTCTTTATGGTCACCCAAGCGTTTTTAAACAAAAACCACGCGTTTTTTATGCTCCCGCCCTTGCATTTGACCGATTCCCGCCTGTATCAGTTTTCAAACGAAAGTGCACCATGCCAGCCGGGTCCAAGCTCTCCGAAGAAGAGCAAGGTATGATTTTGGCTCTTAAAGACACCGCAGCTTACAACACGAAAAAGCGTACAGGACGACCGCCCAAGGTCACA